CGAATGGAGCGGATGTGCGGTTATATGTTCATTCGATGATTCAATTACAAGTTCTTTTTTCGATATGTTCGAGAAATGTGTTAATAAAAACCACCAATACTTATTCGAACGAAGAGTCATCACTTTCAATAATCTATCATTGCTTGATGTTCTCTTGTTCATTGACAAGACAGAAAAACGATTCTTCTGATTTGTCGTGACTAAAAACCATTCACATAAATAATCAGATTTCATTAATCCTCTTCAGACCGTTCTGTTTGTGATCATCGTTCATTCATGTCGTGACAAAAAATCATTTGCCGCTGTCACTCTTGGGCACTTTACTTAGAAATCTTTATCTCTTCTTGAACTCAAATTAATGAAACACGACAAAGGAACCTGGAGAACAACGAAAACAAATAATAATACTCATCCGAAATGGCTTTCATCAGATGGAAGCGGGTTTTAGAGGACTCTGGAGTTCTGCTGGCTGGCTGGATATCCTCAATTTTCATAATTAATTTCTTCGAACTACTGAACAATCTGTGATTCTAAATTAGACATTGTTATGATGGTGAAAATGTGCTTTAGCATGAATTCTCATGGTGACTATACCCTGCTTTTTGCAATGTAATGCATTTACAGTTATGATGTCAATGATGATGATAGTGAAACTAATAGTAATGAATATATGATGCATGAAAATTGAACTGAAATTAGACGCTACCGCAAGGCCACCGTGAATTAATTTCAGCAGTTTGTATTTTTTTAATCATGAGCAAGTATATGATAACAAACTTGAACGCCAAACATGAAAGAATGAAACGGCAAATGATAGTAGATTTCTGATGCAGATTATTGTCAGATAATTGACAAAAGTATATTTGGTGGATATATCAGGTAGATTCACAAGATATATCTGATAAGTCGAAATTTCCATGAAATGTGTATATGCATTGATGAATTGGCATTCACGGATATTGTAACATCTGAACGTCAATTCGTAACGTCTTACAGTGGGGTTATATAATATGGTCGATATTTGGAATACGCTTTTTATGAACAAAAGCGAACCGCCACTGAAGCTATCTACAAACAAATACTCCACAGAATTTTCATTGGTTAGGACTTCGTGTGGTTCATGAATTTACCACTGAGAGTCGGGATTATAACGCACCGTTTCCATTCACACAAGGAATTGTGGAGATGAAAATGTGAACTCAAATGAATGTCTTATGATACCTGTGAATTTGGTTTGAAACTTCAGAAATTCAGCAAGATTCTCCTACGCCCCGCTATTTTTACCAAGTAGGCGATATCGAGAGATTTCGAAACTCTTTTCAATATAATTTAAAGTGATAACACCATTCGACTTTCTATACATCTGTCTATTGACCATTCTAGAACACTTGATTTTGAACACGGTTTCTTGAAGGGCACACAAACTTTGATTGTCAAAATATTGGTTCACATGACTCTCTAGGTGCTTCACCTGTCACTGCCTTTTTCTGCATTATAAAAACACGGGAGACCTGATAGGAATTTCCCCATAGTAAGTTTCCATAGCTAATATGCGAGTGAAATAATGCAAAATATGATAACCCTCAGTATATCAGGGCTCACGGATTGTTCCAATTTTCGCAGTAAGAAGTTTGGCTTGATAATTTTTTACATGGACGGTAGATGTGGAACGACGAGTTGTTAATCATCTAGAGTGATGCCAAGCAATTTAGCAGTATTTGCTTATGAAATGTTATCATCAGAAGAGAATAATAATTTTTGAGACTTTCACAAATATATCGTTCACTTATATTATGAATAGAAGGGGTCCAAGTGCCGAGCCTCGTGGAACTCCAAAATTATTCTGCTTGGACCTAGATATACCGTCATTGAAGAACACCCTCTGATTTCGCTCACGTAAATATTAGTCGAAAAAGTTCAGAGATATTTCTCTAACACTATGATATTCAAGCTCTTTCAATAGAATTGCATGAGAGACACAGTCGAAGGCCTTACTGATATCACACAGGGTTGTGGTAGTTGGGTTCAGAGATATGGGTGTCGAAAGAGAGCAGCACATTCAGTTAGTGGGGGTGCCTATGATAGGGATGAGCAAGATGATCAAAATAAGCGACTCCGAAATAGTTTTATTATCACTCACACAAATGTATGAACATTCAATTTGGTTTATATAGACAAATACACCAAAGAGAAAGATCTATCCAGGGGAAAAGTTCCCTCTTGTTCGCGATTTGCAGATTATTTATAAGTATTAATTTGCTAGTCATTCTACATTTGGATTTTTAGGCCTCACTCATTAAGAAAATAGAAGTGTTCAACTCCTGAATAGTTTCTTATAGAAAATCAACTAGATCTTTATCCGAGGCACCACTGAATTGAACACGCTAAATATCCGGTTCTCTATATTATAATCAAATACAAAAACAAGTTATTTTTCTATTAACCACTGGAACTACATTCAGTATCTGGGAAATCGAAGGATTTACAGAAATATTTTGTTGAATACATGTTTTGGAAATAAAACATGCTCTGTCACGTCTTTTGGGCTATCATGTTTATGTGAATGTTTTTGTTTTTTCAATAAGTACCTATGCAGCTACCCAGATAAATGAGAAACAATATCAAATTGACTCTGTGATTGATTGATACCCATAGTAGTTGTACTCACTTCATGAACGATGAGATTATCACAAAATTCGTGGGAATATTATGATTAATGTGTTGCTACAATGGATTTATTTTTCATATTTCATCAATATATGTTTTCACATGAGAAAAGGCTAGAATTCTTGAATAATGAATATGGAATGTGGTTGAAAAATAAGTTCCATGGAATGGTTTTCAACATCTCGACTTACTTTGGACGCATTAAGAAACTCCGCTTCTCACTGTTATCTCAATTTGTCTAATTGATTTTTCCCAGCACGCTGTATTATTCTGACGAAATCATCGAGATAAATTATTTTCAGTGAAGGGCAGATGAAAGCCATTTCATCTTGTGGAGGTCATGATAATTCCATTCTTCACGAGTTTCTTAATCTCTTTCCACGAAGTACGTGGAATTAGATGAATTTTTGATACAATGATGTCTCTGCAAGTACTGAAAAATTGTATCTTCTGATCCAGATAGTGAACGGATAGCCCTAATTTGAAAATTAATATGTATGTTGATGAATAATTTCCGCTTCGCTACTTTGCAACATCAGTTTGGTTTCATGCTGAAATACAACTGCTCTCACAGAATTGGAAACAAGAACTGACAAGTTTTGCGATTCGAGACTTGGACGATAGCATTATTCTTTCCTAAGTATGTTTTCGAATCACTAACTATGTTTTCTAGTGACAGCCGATTCGTCCACTGATACACTGATTAGTGTTATTTCTTTCCGATATGTACTAATTTGAGAGTTATTGCATATTTGCTCTTGATACTCATTTCTACCAGAAAATGCTGATTGCAAGAGTTACATTTTTTTGTTGATGGTCTTAGTCAATAATGGTATAATAAAACGAAAAAAAAAAAAGACTATTTTGTTCCAATAATACAATATCTGCTCTGATTAACACTTCTCGTTGATTGAAAACTGAATTTCTGAACTGGGAGAAAGACATCAATTCTCTCAGTTGATCCAAAGAATTATTGATACAAGAGCTTTCAAGAGTCATAAGAACTGTTAGAATTTCTTGGACAGCTTATAATATGATTATCATACCGAGTGACACAGACTAATGGTATACACTCCTTCTCTCCTTTGGTTTTCTAGCTATGTTTCCAGAATTAACAACATCGAATATGCTCACTAGAGGGCACTTCCATACATTTTAGGAAATTTTATTCGTTCCCCAGTTTTCCTGGGAGTGACATCAACTTTCAGTTCTCGAATGAATCATTTTATGAGTCATTCAATAATATCAGTTAGAGCTCATTATAACAAATTGATCAATACCAGTTTTGATCGGGCTATCTCAAACGATTACGAAGATATTCACATTCGAAGTTTCCATAAGCTCAATGGGTGTGACGGCGCAATACTGAAAATCATTTCTTTGTCACAATCTTGATCTTATGGAAACTTCGAACGCGAATATATACGTGATCGTTTTTTTTATCGCTTGGAGCGCACGAAAGGGAATCCCTATAATGTTCAAAGAACATCGTGCGTTCCTAGGGAGGATAGGGATAGGAGGAAGGGAATACTTCCTCAGGCAATGAATTCCAGAGCCTAGCCGTTCTATGGATGCAGGAGTTTTGATGAAGTGCTGTTCGACATCTTTCGAGGTTGACAACGAAAGGCTGTGCTGACTGGGCTTGTCTAGTTCGTCTGAGTTAAGGATGTTTTCTTGTCGATATGAAGAAAAAGTGTGGTGTGGCTAATGATATCTATGTCGTTTGCGTTTGAAGATATCCTTAGATTTCTTTGATCAGTTTATAAATTCAATAATATGTATGTATATGTTGTCGTTTGCGTTTGAAGATATCCTTAGATTTCTTTGATTAGTTTATAAATTCAATAATATGTATTGATTGTCCAGAAGACAATAGTTATTATCACTTAATCACTTCGATTGTGAATTCACTCATTATGTTTTCAGTGTAGAATATCTCTAAATGTAGGTACTCGTTTGATCATTCAATATTAGATTCAATTCACTTTCCAGTTTGTTTATATATTATACATTATACATCGTGCTAATATAAACGTCCATGGTTCAATGTTAAACAGTGAAACTTTTCGATATGCTCATGAATCCGACCGACATCCGATGACGATGACAAAATGTTCCTGTTGGTCAAATAAATATTCGAAATGAGTGGAGCGGCACCATTTGTGTATTAAAGTTTCACACATGGTGGATGCCATTATGGACAGTATAAAATAGAAATAGGCAGTAGTGAATGATTCTTCTCAAGTAATAGAATCTCAAATGATGAGTTATTCGGTGTATAATGGTTCGATTTACGAGGTAGGTTGTTCATATTTTACGTTGAATGGTGAAATTGTGGACGGTAGATGGAGTTCAATTCTTGAAATATTTATCCACTTTTAGACAATGATTGTAGAATCGGCTCATTTCTGATGTCATTTGAGAATGAAATACTCTTGGCTTGTACCAGTCTCTGCTCAAATCTGGATCTGAATTCCACCAGCCATAATCCATCGAGTTTATCCCAGGATATTTGTACATATCTGTTGGACCAACTGGCTGAAAAAGGAATATTCATTATTACAGATTGGTGAAGTGTTCCATCTAAGTTTTACCGAATGCTCTGAATTCCAAGAACCATTGAAAATCCATATTGGGTATTATCTCACTCTCATTAGGACATACACTTGGATGAGTACTTGAGTAGTGATACTCATTTATTTTATTCAAATATTTCTTGTTACACCGTTGTTCTACAGGTTAGACCAAATAACAGAACAAGGAAATAAGTATAATATCAATACAGATTTTCATAGTTATAGTAGAGAAATATATATACATAGGCAATAACTTAGTTGATATAGAAAGATTTAATAGCAGAGTTACATCAATGAAAGATATCCCGCTGATTATTGGATGATTTATTGTTGTTGATGTTATTGAGAGGAGAATATTTAAAAATATTTGTTCGTGGTGTCAGGAGATAGAATGTATTCAACACTATAGAGTCTAGAAGTTTGTCTAGGCACAGTGGAACTATGAAGCTGAAGCTTATAAGCTTCTGCAAAGTGTATGAGTCAGTGGTAATGTTTGCTGATCACTATAATGATGTATCATGAGGAAAACCCATTGGTGGATAGACATTGTCAGATCTTCAGGAAAGAAGTTTAAGGAAACCCCGTTGTGCTGATTCAACTTTCTCAATATAATACAGCTGATGAGATGGATTCCAAATTGAAGATGCATAATTCAGTTTTAATTTGACAAAGGCATAATATAATGCTTTCGATGTGGCTGAATCATAAAAATCTTTAGAGATATGCGCTATGAATCCATCCATCCTGTTTGCAGCCGACAAAGTAGCTTCAATATGCCGCGTGAATGAGAGTTCTGTGTCAAAGGTGACACCTATAAATCAAACGGTTCCTGTGCCGATCTCTATTCTGAGCAGGATTATTGGAACATTGCACTTTCCTGTGCGGTTACATACAGTCGATTTCATGATTTGATAACAAGATGAAAAATATGGCATCCGGTAACAATTGAATGGTAGTTCTCGAAAACCTACCTGATGAGTATCAACAAATGATGCTCAATGATATGCAGTCAATCGATGTGAGTACTGACAGCAAGGATGATCTAGATTCCCTGTATGTATTTGACAGTTTTGCTATCAAATACATACAGGGACTCTAGGATGATCTAGTCTCCAGTGCCACCAAGTGGCAGTTACTTTGAGGGTATATGCTGTTTGGCTGTTCAAATAACCAAATTTGCGAATTATTCCAAGGAGAGTTCCTCTTTCGTTCCCGTTGATATAGCGCGATATACAGTGATTCATAATAGCAAACGAAAATGTGCTTGACATTCAGAATTTTATATGATAGTGTAATATCGTGATAAGTAGTGATTCGATAATAATCCAAAAAACTATTAGTTCATGTATTTCTCATTCAATATGCTTCCGTTAGTTTTGTTGACTCACTTTCAAAACTGATTTTCGTCTCATTCTTGTCAACCTGTCCCAAGATCTATAGGCGTACCCATCTGTGAATCCAATGTAGCAGTCCAACTCTTTTATACGCTCAGAAAGAGTGTAGCCAAATTTATTCTCGACATCCAGAATATTTTGCGGTGGTTTCTCTGGTTCTTGGTAATCCGAACGCATCATGTCTTTGATTGGGGAACTAGAACCGTAGCTGGTCAAACCAAAAAATTCCATCGTCTATGGACAGTTTGGTGAGATCAAATTGAAAGTCTGATTTGATAGGTTTCACTAAATTATGATTTGGCAGATTTTGAAGTGTTTTCACGTTATTTTGACAGATTAGCTCAGATGGTATTGTCAATGAATTCACTATATTATAGTACCTTCAAACCTGGAGTTATTTGTTGAGTATTTTCAGAAAAATCAGATGTCACAGGAATTATCTTATATTATAGATATTTATATTGTATCAACATGTGATATTGTAGTCAATTTCTGAGTAGTGAGTTAAGAATCAGATTCAGAAAATCTGTCGACTATAGGGTTCCACCCACGGAGAGACATTTGATCTTTCTATTATCTTTTTGATTTATGTTCTGGTTACCACGAGAAGGTAATATTCAGAGAACATCGTGAAAATCAAGAGAAATAAGGTAGGAAATGATGATCTTCTTGAATTCCTGGAGGTTTCATGCCTCGGAGATACCTCCCTTGGCAATGTGTTCCAGAGCCTCGCTGTAAGTTGGATGAAAGAGTCTTTGGAAAGAGATGGTCTGCAGGTCTCCAAAGTAACCACGAAGGGGTACGAAGCCTCAACTCGACGGGTTGATCTCGCAGGGACTGCCAAGGAAGGAACAATTGTTGATATTTCAGGAAAGTATCGTCCATGAAAATAACTATGAAATAGAGTCAGATCACCAACTTCTCTACGGTATTCCAGAGAAGTGAGTGAGTTTGTGAGCGAGGCATCACCCAAGAGACGAATTGCCCTTTTTTGGACAGAATCCAACAGTTTCAGGATATGTTTGGGTGTTGCACTCCAATATGGAAACAGTTTCCCAGGACAGGTCGGATCTGTGCCCTATAGATCATAAGCAGCTGACTGGAAGTGAAATAGCTCCTGGCTCGAAACAGAAAACTAAGTTTTTGGGATGCACTTTCAGCAATTGATCTCACGTGATTTTTTCAAGGAAGGTTCTTGCTGATAGTATAATACCAAGCATCGAAATGGATGTCTTCAAAGGTATGGTTACTCCTGACAAGCTCATGGTGGGCACAGTGAGATCGACTCTTCTAGAGAAGAGGCATTGTTGTGTTTTGTTTGCATTTTCTTCCTCTGAATATAGCGAATTATATAATGCGAGTTCCATTTCTCATGAAGTAATAATTTCATTTCTCATGAAGTAATAATTGAAGAAAATTAGTAGACTGATTATATAGGATTATATCCATATATTTAAACAGATTTTCTGGATTTCCCCATTTAGTTTCTCAATAAAAATGTGGGTAATATTCCGATATATATATATATATCTATTGAGGACAAGTCAGCAGATTCGCTCCAAAATGTCACTGAGTTTGAAAAATGTTCCTACAGTCATACAAAACTAAACTTCATTACGACAGTGTATATATTGAAGGACTAATACCAGACCTGATGGAGGGAGGATGGTTCAAAACTATTGAGAATAGAATAATCTTTATATTCAAGACTGCTTCAGCAGTATATTCATTGAATCAGTTTATAATTTGCTGCCTGAAGTTCTTGCATTCGTTGAATTATATGCAGAACGTGGCATTTATTATTATCATCATGACCTACCTCTCTCAAAGTGAAACATCATTATCTGAAAAAATCAACTATGATCAATACAACCAATGAAATACCAGACCAATTCGAAATTGCATCGGGAAAATTGTTGTTTGTATCAAAACTGTTTTAGTTCCTATTTCAACCAACAGTGGAGTGAAACCATCCCAAACATTCACTCTCGTTCATGCACAGATCCCAACGTATATTCTCTATTGCGGTGCCAAGAAAAACTCCCTGAATCTTCAGAATTCTGGTCACACAAAATAATTCCATCCGCCTCATAATTTCACACCTATTACGGCAGTAATGAAAATGATATAATGCAACAGTTAATGGGTCTAGTTAAAAGTTGCGGAACGGTCACGAACCACCTCTGAAGTACGAAGTTCTGGGCGAAAGGTCGTTAGTTGAAGTAGGAGTCATTAAACACCGCTGACAATATCATTATAGAAACGAGAAAAACCGTTGTATATATGCAATGTGCATACTAATTCCGTGTATTAGCAGGAAGACAGTGCGGGATACGAAGTTGAAACTCTTGATTGTTTCGTGAATTTTTATACCGCTATAGCGAAGTGAACTCCTCGAAATTTAATAAGGTAGGAAGAGACTCTGGAAATTGCAGATATCTTGCGGTTTTCTGGAATTTTCTTCTCACACTTCAAAACAGAATGAGTTGAGAGCTAGTTCAACCCAACTATCTAAATGGATATTGCGAATTTTTAGAGGAAATTGGAAATAATATATTATAACTTTCAGTAAGTATGTAACGTCTGGAATACCCCCTAGACCGGATTGATTTGAACATTTCCTGATCACCAAAATCTCGCATGATTTTCGAGTAATCTGATCGATTTAGTCTGAAGGTCATTCAAGCCAATTAGGCAATCTATCTGTCAAACTATGCGCTAATTGGCAAACAATGAAATTATTTATGTGTGATATTCCGTTTTTATATGCGAATCTGTTAGTATCAGAAGTAGATGTCATATTATCGGATGAACTCACAAGGAATATCCATTTAATTATTCTAGTAACATGATTCTATTGATTATCTGTGAAGGATGCTAACCAGCAGCCATATTAATTCTGAGAGAGATGGATTGTCTATAATTCGAGTGATCTGCTTGACTTAGGGATGATAATTTTCTTTTTCAACTGTCATGTGGATCATTTAACGCCGTGATGATATAATCTTCTTGTCGCAGTTTTGAACAGAAATAGTTGGAAGCTGGTTCGCTCTAGGCTCAAGTATACACGAAATACAATGTTTTAGCCTTCAACATATGAATCTATCAACATTCATGGCTAGTTACCTGATAAACTTCAAGGGAAATGTTATCAACTAGCAGACTGTAAGTATAGGATCATTCTGGTTCATCGAATCTCATCTCATTATTGTATGTTCAATTATTTTGTAATGTAGGTACCTATATCAGTGAGCAAAATGATTTTGATGTGATAAGAGATAATGAAGGTATATGCCTTCACTTACCCTAATCAGAGGTGTACAGGAGGTTGACAGGATCTGAAGGAAATACCGCCTTCCTGCATAACTGGAGAATCGTAACAGTTCTAGACAGAAAAGTATGTACTCAACACTTTAGTAAACGTGAAAAGTAAAGTTCTGCGTGTTAACTTCGTGGCCGGTCGTATACAAATCTGTCGATAAACCGGTCACTTTTTCCTTGGTATTTTTGCCGGATCAAATCCAGCGTCCAATGGAAGGAAAAAGAGGAATATATAGATATAGGAATTGTCATGAGAAGGAAAAGGATGAAGCAAATGAATGTCAAGGCATAAATGCGCGAATTTTTCAATATGAATGATTCTAGACAATAGTAAGGTAACTCTTATTAGAAAGGTGCAATCAATGATCGCTTATTAATTACTTCAAATTAGAAGTTAGATTCACTTCCCTAATGAACCATGATGAAGAAAAGATTTCAATTCAGCCAAAATATCGAATTTCGTTTCACCAAAAACAACGGAGAAAATATACAGGAAACAAAGAAAAAATAGATACATTGAGTGAAGACGGGGCAATTTGTCTCATCAGTGCTTCCAGTTTCTCCACAAGATTGTATTTTTCTTCTTGCGACAACTCTTCAATGTAAAGAATTATCCGAAAGACAAAAGGGTAGGATGTGCCTCATAGGTAGATAGATAGATAGATAGATAGATAGATAGATAGATAGATAGATAGATAGATAGATAGATAGATAGATAGATAGATAGATAGATAGATAGATAGATAGATAGATAGATAGATAGATAGATAGATAGATAGATAGATAGATAGATAGATAGATAGATAGATAGATAGATAGATAGATAGATAGATAGATAGATAGATAGATAGATAGATAGATAGATAGATAGATAGATAGATAGATAGATAGATAGATAGATAGATAGATAGATAGATAGATAGATAGATAGATAGATAGATAGATAGATAGATAGATAGATAGATAGATAGATAGATAGATAGATAGATAGATAGATAGATAGATAGATAGATAGATAGATAGATAGATAGATAGATAGATAGATAGATAGATAGATAGATAGATAGATAGATAGATAGATAGATAGATAGATAGATAGATAGATAGATAGATAGATAGATAGATAGATAGATAGATAGATAGATAGATAGATAGATAGATAGATAGATAGATAGATAGATAGATAGATAGATAGATAGATAGATAGATAGATAGATAGATAGATAGATAGATAGATAGATAGATAGATAGATAGATAGATAGATAGATAGATAGATAGATAGATAGATAGATAGATAGATAGATAGATAGATAGATAGATAGATAGATAGATAGATAGATAGATAGATAGATAGATAGATAGATAGATAGATAGATAGATAGATAGATAGATAGATAGATAGATAGATAGATAGATAGATAGATAGATAGATAGATAGATAGATAGATAGATAGATAGATAGATAGATAGATAGATAGATAGATAGATAGATAGATAGATAGATAGATAGATAGATAGATAGATAGATAGATAGATAGATAGATAGATAGATAGATAGATAGATAGATAGATAGATAGATAGATAGATAGATAGATAGATAGATAGATAGATAGATAGATAGATAGATAGATAGATAGATAGATAGATAGATAGATAGATAGATAGATAGATAGATAGATAGATAGATAGATAGATAGATAGATAGATAGATAGATAGATAGATAGATAGATAGATAGATAGATAGATAGATAGATAGATAGATAGATAGATAGATAGATAGATAGATAGATAGATAGATAGATAGATAGATAGATAGATAGATAGATAGATAGATAGATAGATAGATAGATAGATAGATAGATAGATAGATAGATAGATAGATAGATAGATAGATAGATAGATAGATAGATAGATAGATAGATAGATAGATAGATAGATAGATAGATAGATAGATAGATAGATAGATAG